CGCATGGCGTCCTGCGCGGGAGCGGGAGCTCCTGGACACCAGCGCCGGCCTTGGCCTCAGCCGCTGCTCGGGCGGTGGTCCTTCCTTCCCAAGGGCACCTGCCAGAAGCCCCCCCCCATCCCCTGTGCTGGACAAGGAGGCGCGGGGCGCGCTGGCCTTTGCAGGGGACTGTGGTCCACGTTGGATCCCCTGCGTTGCATCAAACACTTTGCAGACCCCGAGATGGACGGCTCGTCCCCCACTCTTTGGGGCCCGATCTTATGACAAACCCCCGCAAATACAGCCATCAAAGCCCCTCTGTCCCCATCCGTCATCCCAGGCCCCATGATCTGTGGCCCGGTGGCAGCTGGTCCCGGTGGCACTGGGATACGGTGGCAGTTACCGGAGCAGAGAGCCCTGGGTCAGCGGGAACGGAGCGCCTGTCTGTCGAAGGCGGAGCGGGAGCCCCACCTGGTGTGCGGCTGCCTGGGGACCGGGTCTGAACTGCAAACACTTGGAAGACGGGGTGAATGTTGACCTTGAAGGGGGAGAGGGCAGAGCCGTACTTTTCCTTTCCTGGGGGCATAGAGTGGACACTCTCTCAAGGTGACCTCATTGTCTCCCGCACCCAGCCCTCCTGGCAGTGGGCCCGGGTCCGCTCCGGGGTCGCCCTGCCCAGGGTCAGAGGGTTTATGGGACCAGTGTTCCCCCTGCAGGATGGATCCCCCCAGAGCCCTGACTGGAGCGCACATGGTTAGCGGTGGAGAGGGAGGAGCGACGAGGGAGGGACGCTGGGAGTTGTGTGGGGCGGGGCATCCCCATCACAGCCGGTGGGGTGAGGTCCCCGGACAGCCATCTTGTGAGCTGAGCGTTCCTGACTTTCAAAAGATGCCGTTTCCTCCCGCCTTCACGGAGGACGCGGAGCGGCTGCGGCTGGAACACTCCTGAGGCAGTTGGCTGGAACCTCCCCCGAGTTCAGGTCTCCAAAGATCGGGACTCCTGTCGAACCAGGTCATCCTGGGAGAGGGTCACCCCCAGGGACAGCTCGCCCACAGCCGGCTTCGCAGGGACAGCCCAGGTGGGCGAGTGCCCAGCGCGGGTGGCTTGGCCCCGCCCGGTAGATAGAGGCTGTGCCCGGCCACGGTGGCTCAGTGGGTGAGCGTCCACCTATGAACCTCGCGGTCCCGGTTTGATTCCCGGTTTGATTCCCGGTTGGGGCACAGGCCCGGGGCTGTGGGCTCAAAGCCCGGAGTGGGGTGTGCAGGAGGCAGCCCATCAATAATTCTCTCTCATCATGGATGTCTCTGTCTCTCTCCTTCTCCCTTCCTTTCTGAAATCAATAAAAAATATTTTTAAAAAAAAGGTAGAGGCTGTAGCTGCCTTTGAAATCACCTTGACAGTGGAAACCTCAAAAGGCAGCCAGCCTGTGCTGATGGGGAGGGAAGGGCCTCCGGCTAACGATGGATTTCGGTTCTTAGTGCTGAGTTGGGGGCAGGACTTCCCTGGAGCCAACAATCCCCCTGGACCTCAGGTTCCTGCCTCCGCCAGAGAGGGGCGGGCTGCTTCCGGTCCTCGCCCACGGGGGAATGGCGGGGGCTGAACAACTGCGATGCAGCTGCTCCCGGACCTTCGCTCCCGAGGACGTGGCTGTGGCAGACACTCCGCCAGCAGAGCGGTCCCCCGGTGACAAGTTGAGGGTCTAAATCTGGCCGCGCCTGGGCCTCCGCAGGAAGGGAGGCCCCTGGGGATGGATGCTGGGCGCTCTGCTCTGTGAGGGGACCCTCAGCGCCTCCGCCTGGCCTGCCTCATACCTGAGCCCGTCCCCAGCTCCTGTGGGCTCCTTCCCTCAGTGTGTCTTCATGTCACCACCTCCATCGGCGTCCAGGAGGGCGGGTTCGGCCCCAGAAACAGACCCGGATCTTGCCATGGGGCTGGGCTGTGACCTGCCAATGGCTGAGGGGCTTTGGCCCTGGAGCACTCCAGAGCTGTCTGCTGGGGGTGGGCGGGGGGGGGGAGGGGTGAGGCTGGAGGAAGGGGTGAGGCTGGAGGAAAGGGGGAGGCTGGAGGAAGGGAGGAGGCTGGAGGAAGGGGTGAGGCTGGAGGAAGGGGTGAGGCTGGAGGAAGGGGGGAGGCTGGAGGAAGGGGTGAGGCTGGAGGAAGGGGTGAGGCTGGAGGAAGGGGTGAGACTGAAATACTTGCCTTCATGGTTCAGAAGCTCGTCCGCCCCGGGAATGTAGGGGAGGCGTGCCGGTTTTGGTGAAAGCCAAAGCTGAGATTAAGTCTGCGCCTAGAAGCATACACACTGTGAGACCCGGAGGGAGCCCAGGGACTCACACCGACCTGCCCAGACATTTCCCCTTCCATGTAGGAGGACGCTGTTTGCCTTCGAGAGGCTGCCGAGGTTAGATGGTATAACACACACCTACTGGGTGAGTCACAGACTGAGCGGGCCTGGGACCAGCGTCATCACCATCATCGTCACCTCCAGTTGGTCACCACTTTCATCATCATCAATATCACCACCATCACCACCACCATCACTATCACCACCACCATCACTATCATCATCATCAATACTGCCACCATCACCGCCATCACCACCACCATCACTATCATCATCATCAATACTGCTACCATCACCATCATCACCACCACCATCACTATCACCACCACCATCACTATCATCATCATCAATATTACCACCATCACCGCCATCACCACCACCATCACTATCATCATCATCAATACTGCCACCATCACCATCATCATCACCACCACCATCACTATCATCATCATCAATACTGCCACCATCACCATCATCATCACCACCACCATCACTATCATCATCATCAATACTGCCACCATCACCATCATCACCACCACCATCACTATCACCAGCATCATCACCATCATCACCACCACCACCACCATCATCACCATCATCACCATCACCAGCATCATCACCATCATCACCTTCACCATCACTACCATCACCACCACCACCACCATCATCATCACAATTTAACCACCATAACCAGCATCATCATCATTAGTACTATCATCACCAGCATCATCACCATCATCACCTTCACCATCATCACCTTCACCATCACCAGCATCATCACCACCTTTACCATCATCATCACAATCATCCCCTCCAATGTTAGCACAACCATCACCATCATCATCTCCACCAAAATTATTGTCACTGTCATCACAATCATCATTACCACCATCACCATTACCATCATCATCATCATCATCATCACCGTAATCACCATCATCACCATCATTACCATCATCATCATCATTAGGAGTTTCCGTCCCATCACAGGATGTATAGACACAGGATGAGCTCCTAGTTTTGAAGGCAGCGAGGCGGTCTCTCCATTGGGCTGGAGGGCACGTGTGGCTGGAGGGTGAGGGGAGACAGCTGCCATCCTCCCTGCTTGTCCATTAAACTGGCATCCTGTTCAGTCCCCTCTGCCAGCGTGTCTCCCTCGCGTCTAAGGGAACTGGTGAGCAGACAGGATCCCGGGGGCCGGTGGGCACTCCATCGCTGCTGTGGTGCGGGTGGTCCATATGGCAGAAAGCTTAGCCCAATTGGCAGGCGGACTTGGCAGGCCCGGAGGCAGAGCCGCGCTGTCTCACAGATGTGCCTAAATTGGGCACCGGTGTACGGCAGTGAGAGCTGCCACTATGAAGAATGGGCGCTGGGCGGCTGCTCCGGAGGGTGGCGCCGCCGCTGGGGGTGAGAGCTGGCACTGCCGGGCCGCAGGTGCTCCAGTCCTGCTCCTGGGTCACAGAAGAAGGAGGGAGGGAGGCGAGGCACCGCCCCCAGCAGACAGAAGAGGGGCCGGCGGGAGAGAGAGTCGCGTCCCGGTTATGCCAGCTCGGAGTTATTTCCCGGCAATCCCCTCGAGGACTGTACCCAGGTGCCCAGTGGAGAGGTAACGCCTTGGGAGGCCGCCAGAGAAATGTTGCATTCCGCCACCCTCCGCTGGGACCGCACACGCGTGGCCCTCCCCGCGGGGCCTGCTGGGTCACACTGGGGTGTGGTGGGTGCGGGGAAGGGGGCTCTGCTAAGGGACCTCAGGACTGGGTGCCAGGCGTGGGGAGACGGGCTCACAGGTCTCAGGTGGAAGGGCGCGCACCCGCACCTCCGTGAGGGGTGTGCCCACGCCCGCAGGCTCTCGCTGCCCCTCGGGGCCTCTGTCACCTGACGCCAGGTGAGTAAGGTTCTCGCTGGGGGGGAGTAAGGGGGCGGGGCAGAGGGACGGGACAGAATGCCCCTCCTCTGGCCTCTGCAGGCGGGCGCGTGGCCGGGTTCTGGAGGGGCCGGTCTCTCTGTCCCTGTGGCCCCCCTCCCCCAGGCACACACAGCAGGGCGACCCCAGAGCCCCCACTGGGACCTCTGGTTCCCTGACGCCCCAGCAGCCAGTGCGCCTGCTGGAGTGAAGTCTGGAGAGCGGGAGACGTTTCCCAGGATCCAGCTGTCCCCAGCCTGCTCGGCCGCCTCCACGCTCCCTGCTAAGTCTTGGTCCTCCCAGCTCCGCCTGCGTCCTTCGGGTCCCCCCCCAGGTGCAGGCAGCCGCCAGGGCTCAGCTCCTGGAGCAGGACTTCCCGGGCGGGGAGAGGGGGTGGCAGGTCCTGGGCCAAGGTCCAGCCAGGGCTCACTGCCCAGGGGAGGGCTCTGCAGGTGCGGGGGGCCAGCCAGGCCCCCACCACCGACTGGAGGGGCTCTGGGATGGAAAGGGGCTGGGGCTCCCCTCCCTGGACTCGGGGCGAGGGCAGCCCTGGTGCCCACAGCCCTGCCGGCCCCGGGTGTGGTGAGGGAGGGGCCTGGGGCCTGTGTGGCCCCCACTCAGCCATCCCCGCGGCCCCCTGCGGGCGCGGGCAGAAGCTCACGGACAGGACCTGGCTCTGGTGGCCGGTGGACAGGACAGGTAGGTGTGCCCCCGGCTGGACCCCTTCATCACGTGACCCTGTCTCATATCTCCCCTCCTCCTCTCTGTTCCCAGGTCTGGCTGTCCATCAGATCGTCACCATCACTGTCTCCCTCATCATGGTCATCGCTGCTCTGATCACAACTCTTGTCTTAAAAAACTGGTAAGGGTCCCCGCCCTTCTCCTCTGGAAATGCAGGTGTGGGGGTCCCGGGGGGGGAGGTGCACACAAAAAGATCTTACTTCTCCCACTGGTGGCAGGCCTCAGCCTGGGGGCTGTTTTTCTCTGTCAGGCCCAGGCCCCCCAGAACCCCTCATTCTGCAGCCCCATCCCACACCCAATCCCACACCCCATCCCACAGCCCATCCCACAGCCCATCCCACACCCCATCCCACACCCCCATCCCACAACCCATCCCACACACCCATCCCACACACCCATCCCACACCCCATCCCACACCCCATCCCACACCCCATCCCACACCCCAACCCACACCCCATCCCACACCCCATCTCACACCCCCATCCCACACCCCATCCCACACCCCATCCCACACCCCCATCCCACACCCCCATCCCACACCCCATCCCACACCCCATCCCACACCCCATCCCACACCCCATCCCACACCCCATCCCACACCCCATCCCACACCCCATCCCACACCCCATCCCACACCCCATCCCACACCCCATCCCACACCCCCATCCCACACCCCATCCCACACCCCATCCCATACCCCCATCCTACACCCCATCCCACACCCCCATCCCACACCCCATCCCACACCCCATCCCACACCCCCATCCCACACCCCATCCCACACCCCATCCCACACCCCATCCCACACCCCATCCCGCAGCCCATCCCGCAGCCCATCCTGCAGCCCCATCCCACACCCCCATCCCACACCCCCATCCCATAGCCCATCCCACACCCCCATCCCACAGCCCATCCAACACCCCATCCCACACCCCATCCCGCAGCTCCATCCCACACCCCATCCCGCAGCTCCATCCCACACCCCCATCCCACAGCCCATCCCACACCCCCATCCCACACCCCATCCCGCAGCTCCATCCCGAAGCCCATCCCGCAGGCTGGCTGAGAGCGGCACCTGCCCAGGCAGCAGGCACTGCCTCTCTGCACCCTTTTTCCAGAGCCAGTGCGTTTGGGTGCCCTCGCAGGGTGCAGGTGTCAGAGAGAGGGTTTTAGAGAGAGGAAAGGAGAGGGATAGAAAGAGAGGAACACTGATAAGAGAGAAACATCAGTGGGAGAGGAATGTCACTGACCAGCTGCCTCCTGCACGCCCCTCCCGGCATCGAGCCTCCACCGGCGGTGCCCGGACCGGGACGCCAGCCGGCACGTCTTGGCTTATCGTTAGATGCTCAACCACCGAGTCACACACTGGGCCCCAGCCCTCCCCTTCATTTCCCGCGTCGGCCTGGGCAGCGGCTGTGCTGGCCTCGCCGGTCCCCTGGCCTCGCTGTCCGGGCGCCCGGTGCCGGGGCTGGCCCAGCCTCCTCACCCTCCCTCCTCCGCCGGCGGCCGCGGCCTCGGTGAGTGCGGTGACCGCTGTGCCCGGGCCTGTCTGCCTGTTTCCTCCAGGAAAGGGCCTGTTGTGAGGTCGGCCTTGCTGTGCACACACCTGCCCCCCTGGGAAGCGGGAGCTGCCTGTGACCCATCTGCCCGCAGCTCCTCCAGCACCAGCCCCCTGCTGGCTGCAGACACCGCAGGGCTGTGGGGGAGTGCCCCGCATCCACACGCGGAAGTTGCTAGAAAGCTGGTTTTCAGGGCAGCAAAGGCGGACAGGGGCGCACAGGGGTCAGCGAAGGCAGACGGGGTCAGTGAAGGCGGACAAGGGACATGGGTCAGCAAAGGCGGACAAGGGGGCACGGGGGTGAGTGAAGGGGGACAGGGGGGTCAGTGAAGGCAGACAGCGTGGCAGAGGGGGGGTCAGCGAAGGCAGACAGGGGGGCACAGGGGGGTCAGTGAAAGCAGACAGGGGGCACAGCGGGGTCAGTGAAGGCAGACGGGGCACAGCGGGGTCAGTGAAGGCGGACAGGGGGGCACAGGTGGGTGAGTGAAGGCGGACAGGGGGCACAGGGGTCAGCGAAGGCTCAACCCTCACCTCCTAGTCCTCCCTGCAAAATCAGACACATTGAAAAATATATATATATAGATTTTTATGTCAGAGAGGAAGGGAGAGGGAGAGAGAGAGAAACATCCATGATGAGAATCATTGATCAGCTGCCTCCTGCATGCCCTCTACTGGGGATCGAGCCCACAGCCCTGGCCTGTGCCCTGACCGGGAATCAAACTCAGGGCCCTTGAGCCCCCAGGCTGATGCTCTATCCACTGAGCCAGATCAGCAAGAGTGATATCGGACACGTTTAAAATTCAAATTTTATTCCTAAAAAGAGCTGATGGCTGGATGGCGGTTGATCTCCTGAGGGCCTGGGAGTCACCGCTCAGTGGAGATGGGGTGTGGTGAGCGCTGGAGCCACGGTGGGGCTGGGGCTGGGGCTGGGTGCCCCGCGGTCCCCCGGCCCACACCCCTGTGCCCCCAGCTGCGCGCAGAGCGGGAACCCGCGGCGGAACGGCCGCCCGCGGAAGCTGGCCCAGCAGGAGGAGAGCTGCCAGAACCTGACGGACTTCCCGCCGCCGCGCGTGCCCAGCAGCCTGGACATCTTCACGGCCTACGGCGAGGGCCTGCAGTGCTCCCACGAGTGCGTGCGCGCCGCCGTGCCCGCCTACGCCGACGACACGCTGCGCTCCGTGGGCGAGTACAGGTCCACGTTCAACGGGAACCGGTGAGCTCCGCCCGCCCTGCCGGCTCCTGGGCGCAGTGAGGTCCCGGGGCTGCCGACCGGGCTGCGGACCGGGTGGGGGGACCCTGAGGGTCCAGCAAACGCAAGGGCCTGTCCCCCGTCTGCCTGGCCCAGCCGTGCCAGCCCGCGCCTTCCCGTCCACAGACCCTCCTCCTCGGATCGGCACCTCATCCCCGTGGCCTTCGTGTCTGAGAAGTGGTTCGAGATCTCCTGCTGACTGGCCAAGCCTTTTTTACCTCCTGGGGCGGGGCGGACGCCGCGTGTCTGTGTCACGGTAGGTGCCGTCAGCCCCTGCCTCTCCCCCCTGCCATCCGTGACGTCTCTGAGCATCTGGCAGGGCTGGGCTGTGGGCTCCCTCTGCCCTGTGAGCAACGCCCCCGCATCCCAGAGTGTGTGTGTGTGTGTGTGTGGGGGGGGTAACTGAGGCACCCCGCCCCCTCACCGAGCTGTTTCTGTCCGTGTCCGGCCCTCCCCCTGGAGGCCACCGCGGCTGGGCCTGCATGGCGGGGACCTTAGCTCTGGCGCCGATGCCCGGACAGGCGGCCGTGAGGGCAGTGGCTAAGCGGCGGGTTCAAGGCCGAAGGGCACTGCGTGGCCCAGCCCTCGGATGCCTGCCCCCCTGTCGGCCTCCGGGAGACCCCTCCTCAGGGCCACGGGGGCTCCCTTGGCTGCAGCCAGACCAGCTGGGGGCCTCGCTCACGAACGGAGGGGCTGGCCTGTCCCAGGAACCGCCCCCCAACTCCCCACTCCCTGCTGCCCCGCCGGGCCAGCATCTTGGCAGCGATCTCTAAAGGTTTCAGATGCCACAGGAGCTTAAGGCTCTGCCCCGGAGGCCGGCCCCGCCCACACAGGCCCAGGCGCCCAGGGCTGCGGGCCATGCACCCATGGAGGCACGCCCGCCTTTGGCTGCAGGTAGCACCCGCCACGGGGATGGTTCCCTCACATAGACATTTGCATAGCCGCTCACAGGAGCACTCTTTGCATCTGCAAACTCCCTCCATCCTCCCAGCGTCCCCTTTCCAGACGGGGTCACGTGACGTGCCCGAGGTCAGTCAGGACCTGCCGGGCTGCCTCCCACAGGAAGGGCGCACACGGGCAGGGTGAAGGCGCTTTGAGGGGAGGAGCGGGAAGGGACGGGGCTCAGGGCGCTCACTCGGCGTGCGCTGATTGGTGGTTTCATGTAAGGCCCGTGATCAGGAGCCTAGGGACCCAGGAATCGGGGGCTCGGTATCGGGCAGATGCTGCCTGGCGGTTCAATGCACAGTCCATGTGAGGTACCCGGGTAGGTGCTCAGGAATGTCGGCTGCAGGTGGCGTTTACGGCACTCTCTGTCCACCAGTTGGGGGAAGAGAGGATCTCTCAAGTCCGGCTGTGGGGGTGGGGCAGGTCACCCCAGACCCCCAGCCTCAAGGTGATGGCCCCCCTCCCGGACGGTGCCCAGGGAGCTGTTTTGGGAAAGCCCTGCTTACAGGAGGGGGCGCCCCCCTGTCGGGAGACCGCCCCCCACTGGCTGCGGACAGCGGGAGGTGAGGGGAGAAGTGCCCCCAGGACTGTAGGGCGGCCGCCCCCTCAGCCTCCGGCCTGCGGGCAGAAGCCGCGGCTCCATCCGGCCACCCCAGTTCCCGTTTCCGCAGGCGAGAGCTGGGCAGGCGGGGGGAGGGAGGCGCCTTGTTAGCCCTGATGGACACCTCAGGATTCTGTGCCCTGTGCTGGACAGCGCTGATCGCTCACCGGGAGCCGCGCATTTGGGTCCGAGGCGCCCCGATTCCCGTAATGAATGCCTGGACATGCGCCTCGGCCAGGGCCGCCGGGAGGAGGGCTCAGGTTCACCGGGTGCTTGTCACCCTTAAACAAACAGCAGTTCCCACGGAGGCTGTAACGAAGGTCCTGGAGCCGGGCGGGGGGCGGGGGGCGGGGGGGAGGGGAGTGTGTGTGTTCGCCTACAGCCTCACCGCGAAGCCTCAGCAAACACATTTTTAAGGAAGATGGGTCCGTTTGTCACCCACCACCCCTCTATCCGCTCCCACGGACCCACTGCAGGTCGGGGACCCAGACGCGGCCCAGGGCGCCCCCTGCAGGCGGGTGGTCGGTGACGCCCCAGAGGTGGCACGGGCCCCCAGCCCGGCAGCGTCGCCCTGTCCCGGGATTCGGCCTCTGAGATGGGCCCTGGAGCCTGGCCCGGACGCCTCAGGCCGGCTCCCCACGGCCAGCTCGTCCGGGTGCCCGGCAGGACGAGAGGACACCACGGCCTTTCCCGCGCCCAGGACGGCAGCCTCAGACTCATGCCCGGGGCGGCCCTTGGCTCATTTCCTGTCACTTTTCATACAGCCATCGTCAGAAAACCCCTCAGCGCCCAGACCACTCCATTCCCTTCCCTTCGAGGGCCGCTCCACCCAGCCGGAGCCTGGGACGAGGCGGAGGTCCCAGAAGCCCCGGAGTGACCCGTCCTGGGGATTATTACTTCCAAACCGCCAGGGCCCTGACCTTCTGTCCCCCAAATCACGGCCGGCCGGCCACTCTGTCCGTGGAAGGAGCACTCAGACGCTCAGGAGCCGTTCTCCCTGAGAGGGCCCAGCGGGGCTCGGCGGGGAGCAGCCCTGCCCGGTGGATCACCCCGCGGCCAGGCGCTCTGTCCTCCGGCTTTGCTAAAGCAGACGCCGGTCATTAGCCCGTGACCCACCCATCCGTGGCGTGGAGCCGGTGGGGCCGGGTTAGCCGAGAGCTGACCTCGGGTCCCCATCTCTCGGGTCACAGGGCAGCACATGGCTTCCTGTGGAGACGCCCTCTGTCCCAGGTGACCTTCTCCGGCCGGGGTGTCGGGGTTCAGGCTTCTGTCTGGGCTGCCCGTCCCTCCCTAGTCCCTCTCGGGGTCGGTGCCAGCTGCGGCTCAGCAGCGGAGCCTCCGGAGCAGAAACTCCGAGTCCCCCGCTGAGCTGAGCGCGCAGCAGGGTTTTGCAGGAACAGCCAGGCCCGGAGGGGCGGGTGCAGGCTCCGGCCCGCCTCCTGGCCTGATGGGGGTGCAGGAATCCACCCATCTCTGCAGGAAGCCCGCCTTGTTTTTATTTATTTTTTAATTCTCACTCAAGGATGTGTTTTTATTGATTTGAGAGAGAGAGGGAGGGAGAGAGAAACATTGATCAGTTGCTTCCTGTATGTACCCCAACTAGGGATCAAAGCCACACCCTAGGTGTGTGCGCTGACTGGGAATCGAACCTGCAACCTTCTGGTGAAGGGGCTGATGGTCCAACCAAACGAAGCCACCGCAGGGCGAGGAAGCCAGCACTGCTCTTAGAATGGCAAAAATAGCAAGTGAAGGCTCAGGGTTAGCATGTTCGCTTTCTGTCTCCTCTCTCTCTCTCTCTCTCTCTCTCTCTCTCTGTCTCTCTCTGTCTCTCTCTCTCCCTCCCTCCCTCCCTCCCTCCCTCCCTCTCCCCCCCTCTCTAATGTTGGGTAGCAGCAGATGCCTATGGGTTAGAAAGAGGCTCCTGCCCCCCAGTGGCCCTCTGTCCATCTTCCAAAAGGTCCTCCGTCCGTCCTGGGTGCCCGTCCCCTTTAGGTCCTCCCAAGCTCTGCGGGGACACAGCTCTGGGGTTTGTCCAAGGCAGGGAGGCTGTGGGCCCATCTTCCGAGGCACTCACCCTGCTGGGTAGCACCTGCCATGTCTTTGTGGTCCGCTGCCCTGGCCGCCTCTCCCCAGCAAGGTCACCCCTGGGGGCCCAGCGGGTGGTTTCCGCTGCTCCCCAAAACCCCTCCGAGGGGGCCAGCAGAGCAGCGGACCACCAGACCCCGGTGCCCCTGCAGGCGAGGACGGGGCCGCGCACTCGGACCCTGGAGGGGAGGAGCTGGAGGAGGCCTGAGCGTGCCCGGACGCCTCAGTCCCCGACCGGCTGGGTGACCCTCCTGGCCGGGAGCTGATCCGGCTTCTCTGTGGCTTCCGTGATGATCGTGGGCCCGGGCCCCCTTCCCACCTGGGGTTCTGGGTGAGTCCGGGCCCACGGGCACCCTCCTGTCCTGAGGACATGGGTGGCCGTCAGCCGGGAGCACAGGGACAGGTTAGCCCTCCGCCCGCCCCCACGTAACCGCCTCTTGTCTTCTTCCCGCACAGGATCCCGTGGGAGAACCTGTACAAAACTCAATCCCACTTCCAACCCTCAAACCGGACTGTCTGCGGGAGGCCCCGCACCCGCGGCCGGGCCGGCCGGACTCCAGCAGGACGGACGCTAGAGGCCAAATATATTTTTATAGAGAAGCTCGCGCCGCCCGGCCGCCCTGCCGCCACCGGAGGCCGAGGGCGGAGACGCGGGCCGACCGGAGCCGGGCAGCGGGCCCAGCGCGGAGGCCGGACGCCCTGGGACGCGGGCGCTGCCACGACGCTGACTGTGCCAACAATACCAATATGTGCCATGTGGGGCCCGGGGGCCTGGCGGACGCCCAGCCGCGGCGCCCGCCCGCGTGGGGGCCTCGCAGGACGCCGGCGTGGGCACCCCTTCCGAGAGCCGTGTTTCTGGGGAATGTCGGTGTATATAACTATATAAACACACACACGCGCACACACACACACTTTTTTGTACTGTAGCAATTTTTTGAATATCTTCGATGTTCCTTTTTAAAAAAACAAAGTGTTAACCGGTCACCAAACCTGATTTATGTAACCTGCTTAGTACGGACGGGATACACTGGTGTTTTCTACCTTGCACACACCCACACACACACACACACACACGCACACACACACACGTATACGCGCACATATATATATATATATATGCATATACTGGACACGCAGTCCGAGGGGCCCGGGTCCCTCATTGCCACCGTCCTGGGGGACCCCCTCCTCGGCCACGGGCCCCCCAATGGCACGCCCCGCGTTTGCCGGTGGTGGGTGAGAGGCCCCCCGGCACGCGGTGCGCCCCTCGGGCCCAGGGAGGGAGAGAAGGCCGTGGTTTTATATACATACATCTATATAGACGTATATATACGCACACACGTCATGTTACCGTTTTCTACCTGACCGTTGGAAGAAGCTACCAAGAGCCATGTGGGTATTCCTGTAGCAGCCGCTCCCCTGGGGCCCGGGCGCGCCTCTGGCGGGGGCGGGTCTTGGCCATCCCCGTGTTCTCCAAGCGTAGACCCAATTAAAGGCTTTTCCAGCTCCGGACGTGAAAGGACTGCATCCTTACCACGTGTGCGTGCGTGTGTCGGAGCAGGGCTGGGAAGTGGAGACGGGCCCAGGTTGTTGGAAAACGAGATGCGTCCTCTGTGGGCGGGGCCAGGGCTGCTCCCAGGTGAGCCACGCCCGGGCGCGCTCTGCCTTCCCCGCACATGCGTGGGCAGAGGCCGCTGGCTCTCGCTGGAGCCCAGGGGTGACCCTGAGTCTCGGGGGGAGGCCACAGCAAACACAGGGTCACTGGGTTCCCATTGTTGCGTGTGTGTGTGTGTGTGTGTGTGTGGCGGTCCACGATTTCCCCATGTGGCTTCCTGGTGGAAATAGGACCCCCACACCGAAGCATGTTCACGGATCCCAACCCACAGCCATGCAGAGCCTGCCCTGGCCCTGGCAGGGGCACCCTCGCAAGCCGCACCTCTAAAGGTGCCGGTGCCCAGCTTGCTGCCAGTAGGGGGAGCTGTGGGAGCTGGGGCACCATCAGAGGACCTCTCCCATGAGAGGACTTGCCCAAATCCCGTGTGTGTGTGTGTGTGTGTGTGTGTGTGTGTGTGTGTGGCTTCTCTCCTATAAGTGGCCCACGGGCAAATGGATTTCACCAGGAGGGCGTGCGGGTAAAAGGTTAGCAGGCCGACCGTGAACCTCTCCCCACTCACTGGCTGGGCTGGTGACACCCTGATCCCTCCGGAGCCCAGGTCCCCTCTGTCTGGGTAAGTACCGGCCAGGGTCCCCGGCCCACCGAGGCCCTCTGTGTGCAGGGCAGCTGGCCTGGTCTGGGGAGCCCTCCGCCTGTGGTCACGTCCACGTGTAGGCTCAGCCCCTTCCAGTCCTCACGCACCTGCTGTCCTTTCCACCTGACTGAAACTCCGCTGCAAACACTTTGTTTAAAAGTTCCGAGTGCTCCTGGGAGGTGCTTGACCACGGCCAGGACGGTTGCCTGTTTTACGGGCTCAGCCCCCAGAGCGGGTCGTCTGGACAGTCCTTCTGCTGTCCAGTCTAATTAGCATATTTGCTCTTTATTTTATAGGACATCCTATCTAATAAAAGGGCACTATGCAAATTAACCATCATTCAGTCACAAAGATGGCGGCACCCTTAGCCACAAGATGGCGGGCGCCCAGTCCTCTCAGTCCTGCCAGAGTCCCCCAGTTCCAGGGGGGGCAGCCACTGAGAGCGGGTGGCATGAGCGGCCTAGCAGAATGCTTGCTTCGTCACCGCGGCAACTAGCAAGCGTTCCGTGCCCGGCCGCAGATGGGCCTGAGGGCTGCGGAGAGCCTCTGGGCAGTGGGTTCAGAGTGGCCAGGCCCCACAGGGAGCTACTGGAGCACGGATTCATGCGCTGGGCTACTGGTGTATATATTATTGATTTCAGAGAGGAAGGGAGAGGGGGAGAGAGATAGACTTCAGTGATGAGAGGATCATCATCAGGAGGTTCCATCCTGCACCCCCCCCCCCACTGGGGATGGAGCCCACACTCTGACGGGGAGTGGAACCCTGATCCTGGTCCCTAGGTTGATGCTCAGCCCCTGAGCACCCGGCCGGGCCGGCCACCTCTTCTGCTGCTTCCCCGTTTGGTCTGTGATCCTCGCGGACCAGGAGGCCGGGCCGGCCTGTCTCTGGCAGAGGAGCCGGGGCTGCGCTGGGCAGGGTGGGCAGCGTGCACAGCAGGGCAGGGTCTCCTGAGGTTCCATTTCTCAGTGGCATCGGCACACGCCATCGCGGGGCCTGTGACTGACACCCTCCCCCTCCCCTGTCCGTGCACCTCCGCACCCACGGGGCCACTGCCCCCATCTCCCCCGCCAGCCCGAGGTCACGGTGGGGAGAGACTCTGAGCCGGGCTCTGGGCCGGCCGGCCGTCCTCGCTCTGCGTGGGCGTGTGCAGAGGACGCCACTCCTGTGCCCGGGGAGATCACCTCTTTGGGGCTGGCCAGCCGGAGCCGGTCCTCACACCCGCCCCGAAGGCGGCTCCCCAGCAGCTCCGGCCTCGGCACTGCCGTCCTCCCGGCCGCGGTGACTCATGCGTTTCTCGGCTGCTGTGCGGTGGGTCTGCTGAGCCATATTGTTTGTGGATTGTTTGTTTGTCCTCCGTTGTCAACAGCACAGCCCACGCGCACGAGCCAGACTCCCCGTCTGAGGCGCTGGGTGCTCTCCGCTGGCGCTTCCCGCGCCGCCAGCAGCTGCGCTTCCCACACGGGGCCCAGTGCGTGTCCGGGATGCGCCGCGTTCTCCCGGGGTTTCCGGCTGTGATCCAGGCCCAGCCTTCGCTCCCAGCGGGGAGGGGCTGGCTGCGGGGCTGGGGGTGAGGCCTGGCTGCGGGCCCGGCGCTTCGGGGTCGAGCTTGCACTGGAACCAAGGGTGAGGTAAACAGTGGCAGACACAGGTCCTGTCTCAGGTCACCCTAATCGTCAGCCAAAGGGAAATGTTGACTCCAATGCTGTGGGAAGGTCGCAGCCGGCAAGCTCACCCAGCCCCTCTCCGGGGTCCACGAGATGAGCGGCGGGTGTGGGGGCTTAGCTGTGAGCAGAGCCTTCCTTTGTGCCAGCGGGCCGGTAGGTGACAGCTGGAGCCCCTTCGCCGAGGAGCCGCCGCCCAGTACGGACCCTCCAGCTCCAACATACTCCCACACCCACACCCGCATTCTGAGTCTCCCCGGGGCGGTCAGGCCCGTGGGCAGCGGCGGGCGGCTGAGCTGTGCCCGCCGTGGCCCCGGATCAGGCCGTGACGCAGGAGCAGGAGGTGAGGGGGGTGGCCGGGCCCTAAGGGGCCACGCACTCTGTGAACAGAGGGGCCGTGGCCCAGACACTCCATTTGCGTTTTCGCTCCCACGTGGGTGCGTGTTCTCCCGCAGCCCGAGGGTGACGGACCCTCAGCAGAGCTGGGCTCCGGAGGCGGCATTCCGTCCATCCCAGGACCATTCCAGCCAGGACGGCAGGGAACGGCCTGGCTCAGCCGGGGGCCCGGCCCCACACGCGCGGTGCTGCCCGGCGGGCAGACGGAACACGGGGTGCCCGGCAGTCGTGGGTGCGGGAGAGGCGGGCACTTGGGATGGAACTGTGGTTGGCGGAGACACGCAGCCAGTGGGGGCTCCAGGAAAGTGTTTTCTTGGAAAGCAGGAGTCATGTGACCCCTCTCTCCCCTGGCAGCTCCGGGGAGCCGTCGCGTCTGGCCTTGCCGGGAGACCCAGGCTCAGGTGCCGGGGCCGGAACAGCCCCTCCGTTAAAATGATCACATGGAAAGTGGGTCAGCCGTTAAGGCCAGGTGGCCCGCCACGCCCTCGCTGGCTCTGCGGAAGCTCTGGGGCGGATGGACAGACGGCCTGGCCACTGAGCGTCTCCTCCGACACAAGCGATGCTGCCGAGGGTGGACGGCTGGGAGGGGCCCAGGCGTCGGTCCCCTCTCCACCTGACACTTCCGAAGAGCCAGCGCACTGCGCACAGTTACAGCACAAAGGGGCACCCGGGACCCTCCGTTGCCCGTAATTCCACGGAAACGGCTCGCGGGAGGCTGACCTTGTGAGGACGAGCCGCAGCCACTCCGCCCCCGCCCCCTCCCCCTCCCCGGGCGGCGCCAGAAGCCGCTGCGATGTGGGCTTCATTTTTAAAAGTCCAATTCGCTCTCCATGCGTCTTTGCCGGCTGAACTCCACCGAGCAAACCCACCGGAGCATCCAGGCGGCTCCGATGACGCGGGAAAGCCCGCCAGCCGCTCCCCGCGCTGCTCACACCCAGCGCGGCTGCCGGGCCTGTGGGGGCCGGGGGAGTGCATGTGGGCACGGGGCACAGGGGGCGGGGCCTGTGGATGCGGGGGAGGGGCAGGGGGGTGCGTGTGGACACGGGTGGGGGCTGTTGGTTGGGGGGGGGGGGGCTGGTGAATGAGCTGCTCATATAAGCTGCCCGATTCTGGGCTGGGTTTCCCCAGGGGCCCCTCTCCGAGCCCAGACCGGAAACCGGAGCGTCTGCCGCCCTTCCCGTGTCCAGGGAACTGGAGGAGCGCTGAATCTCCAGGCTCCTCTCGGGAATCTAGCTCTTATTTTATAAAAGTTCATTTTTATTGATCAAAGAGGGAGGGAGAGGGAGAGAGAGACACATCCATGACGAGAGAATCACTGATGGGCGGCCTCCTGCACACTCCCCACGGGGGATCGAGGCCGCAACCGGACCCGTGCCCTGACCGGGAATCGAACCCTGACCCCCTGTCAATGCTCATCCCCTGAGCCACGCCGGCCCGGTGCATCACATGAATTTAGAGAGAGCCACACCTCCCTCTGCCCGCCCCCTCCCCGCCCAGCTAACCATGGAAAGGGAACACCACTAGCGATGGGTGGTGTTGGTTGTAAATCTTTGTTGTTGAAAGTCTGACAGATGTTCCTTCCCGGCTAACCTCTCCAGCTCGCCCCCCCCCCCAGGCCCTCACCCCCGCCCTGTCCGTGGCCGCGGGCCAGGCCTGTCCGCATCAAGGTCTGTGGTTGATCACCTCCCAGCCAACCTCCCCTCCCCGCCCTCCCCCGAGGCCCCGCCCTCTAGTCCTCGCCGCCATGGCTCTGGGTTCATTCGGTCCCACGTGGGAGTGGAGTCTTTCTCTAACCCGCATGGTTCTCACAGCATCATCTGATCCAGGTGAATTTTTATAACGATGGTGACCGAGCTGCGGCCAGGCCCCCAGGCCCCCAGGCCCCAGGCCCCAGGCCCCAGGCCCCAGGCCCCCAGGCCCCAGGCCCCAATCCCCCAGGCCCCCAGGCCCCCAATCCCCCAGGCCCCCAGGCCCCCAATCCCCCAGGCCCCCAGCCCCCAGGCCCCCAGCCCCCAGCCCCCAGCCCCCAGCCCCCAGGCCCCCAGCCCTAAGTCCCCAGCCCCCAGGCCCCCAGGCCCCAGGCCCCCAGGCCCTCAGCCCCCAGCCCCCAGGCCCCCAGCCCCCAGGCCCCCAGCCCCCAGGCCCCCAGCCCTAAGTCCCCAGCCCCCAGCCCCCAGGCCCCAGCCCCCAGGCCCCAGCCCCCAGGCCCCAGGCCCCCAGCCCCCAGGC